CCCCAAAACCCCAAAACCCCAAAACCCCAAAACCCCGCATCTCTATCACTAGATTGAAATAAATTATTCTCAATGGCCGAAACTATTAGCCCCTATAAACTATGGACTTTGATAGGACTCCTGCTACTATCATCTTCTTTACTTGGAATCATGCTCAAGATGATGGATATGGTTGAAGTGGACGGAAAGGAGTTTGAACACCCTTTCTTCCAGTCCCTAATCATGTTTGTTGGAGAGAGCCTGTGCATCTTAGTCTATCTCTTCCAAAAGTACAGGACTGTCAAAGAGTATGGGTCAGTTCAAGCAAGCCCCGGAATGAGACAAGCTGTCCAAGAAGGAATGAAAACTGATATTAATCCTTTAATGTTTGCTATACCTATGTTATGTGATGCCGCTGCATCTACTTTACTATTAATTGGATACATTAACATACCAGCAAGTATCGTACAGATGATGGGAGGTTTTATTGTTCTTGTTGTTGCAGTAATGTCTATTATTTTCCTCAAGAAGAAGCAATACAGACACCACTGGCTAGGAATAGCCCTAATCTTTGTTGGAATCGGAATGGTTGCAGCAACCGCACTTCTGAACAAAGATGACAGTTCCTCCAAAAATCCAATTTTAGGTATTTCTATGCTCATCGGATCTATTCTTATCCAAGGTTGCCAATACATTGTGGAGGAGAAGCTACTTGGATCTTATTACCTAAACCCAATGAAGGTAGTTGGGTGGGAAGGGATCACCGGAACAATTCTGTTCGCTATCTTACTCCCAATCCTACAATTCATTCCTTGAGATGCAGCTATTTGAAGTAATGGCGTAGTTGAAGATACCCGCCTAGCATTCAGCCAAATCGGAAAATCTACACTCCTTGTCCTATTCGTAATTGGAAACATTGTGTTTGTGGCAGGAATGAATGGGTTAGGCATGGCTGTTACAAAATACGCTTCTTCGACAAGTCGTGTAACTCTATCTCAAGCCAAGACTATTCTTGTCTGGCTATTCTTCCTAATAATACCGACCTTCACAAACATTAAGGGAGAGACCTTCAGTTTCTTACAGCTTGGAGGCTTTGTTGTAATGTTAATCGGAATTGTAATCTACAACGAAATCGTTTCTATCCCATTCTTAGGATTTTCCGACTCGACCAAAGCAAATTTGGAGAAGAGAAAGCTCAGAGCGAAATCTCTCAATTACAATGAAGATACTATCGACGAGGCCGAAGCAGATCTGATGACAAATGATGCTTCAGACTATGCTGCTTCATCACCTAAGGCATATGACTACCAAAGAAACTACAAAAGACTTCAGAACCAGATGTCCGAGAAAGCTGGAGGCTCTAGTGCAGATTCTTACTTTAAAATAGAGGACGAATAGGATTAATTTATAAAGATAGATAATCTCCAAATGTGACATTTACTTTGGGGTTTTGGGGTTTTGGGGTTTTGGGGTTTTGGGGTTTTGGGG